TGATGGATTAACTGTTTTTTCTCTTTATTATCTAGTAGTAGATTTTATTAAAATTTAAATTGTGGAGGTACACAAAGCCGACAAGTATATAATGACTTCTCCAAACCAATTGGAAAAAGAAAGAAAAGAAAGATGGCTTTGGCTTACCAAACCAATCATACGGTGCTAGAAGTAGATACTGGAGATCAAACGCCACCGTCCTCCTCCGCTCTTCGTCAGTGGTGGTCACGACCAATAGCGACTTATCCGGCATCTAATGATCGTGAACCAACATGTATGGAGGCTACGGCTCATATTACACCCTGTTGCGGCGGCTTATTCACCGTAATCGCCGTCTTCTGCATCTTCTTATTAGTCGTCGACAAATCTCTCCCCCACGCCAAATTCTCCATCCAAGCCATCGACGTTTTTCACTCAGACGTCGCCACGTGGCACGTCGATTTCCTCGTGAAAAATCCAACCTCGAGATATTCGATATACTACGACGGCGATGACGCTTCCGTGAGGCTCGGTCCTCTAAACGCCGCCGTTTTAAACATCTCTCGAAGACGTGAGTCTAGAGATGTTACGGTTTTGTCGTTGGTTTTTGTTGGCGAGGAGGGGAATGGAAACGACGTCGTTTCAGAACCGCTTGACGTCAAACTCAAACTCAGGGGGAAGCACAAGCGTTACGTTGATTCTGATGAAGCTGGACACTTTGATGTACGATGTCAAAATCTTACACGAAGCCATGAGAACATTCACAAGATTATATGTCAATCTTGTTTCACGCCTTTGAATATGTTGTACCTTTGAAGATGTTTTGTTAAAATTGTTTTGAGTACGGCTTCTACTTTTTTCCTCGTATTCTTATTGCTTTTTTTTATATTGATATATGTTAGTGTTTTTAATTTGTTTTGTTGGTGGTCACGACCAATAGTTTACTTATTGCAATGAAGTTTTTTTAATAGATCACTTGTTTATCATGCTTTTCGAAAAAAATAGAATTCCGCTCTCAATTGCATGATTTGTTGGGATTGGACTTAGCTCCGGTGGGCTAGTTTTCCGTTCATGCTATACTTCATCCATGGATATATAGCTTATGGCAAGGGGTGCAAGTGCACCCATTAATTTTGGAAGATTAATGCTAATTTATACGGAACAATGACTATATGCCCATTCAA